ACCCCAAAACCGCGCGGTCCCTCCAGACTGGGCGGGAGGTCAAAAAATTCAATTTTCCTCCCGGAATTTGGCGGGGTTTTCCCCTTTTCCCCCCTTTTTTTGGGGCGCTGTCCCCTCAAATTTGATGGATTTTGGAAAAATAAAAAAAGAGATTTTTTTTTCACCCAAAAAAAATGAGATTTTCACCCCAAGAAATGGAGTTTTCAGCAGGGAAAAAAAAGGGAAAAATAAATAAATTAGGGGCTCACGTGCGCCATAAACGTCAAAATAAAGGCGAGAAAAATGGAGAAAAAATTAAAAACAAGAGGGGGGAAAAGGGGAAAAGGGAAAAGGAGAGAAAAGAGCGGAGATTGAGGAGAAAAAAAGGGGAAAAAAAGAAAATTCGGAATAAAGAAAAGCTTTTAATGCCCCGCGGAGCCTCCGCGCGGCGCAGCCGCAGCGCGGCCGCGGGGGGGGGGCGCTCCCCCAAAATTCCCCGTCCCAAAACCCCCAATTTTCACCCCAAAATTCCCAATTTTCACCCCCAAATTCCCAGTTTTCACCCCCAAATTCCCAGTTTTCACCCCAGCACCCCCCCCGGATAATCGGAATTTTGGGGAGGGGGCGCGACCTGAGCCCCTCCCCCGGGATTGACCGCAAATGGTGAAATTCAACCCAAAAAAAAACCCCCAAAAACCCCAAAATTGGCGGGTTTGGGGCCGTTCCGCGCGGCCGCGGGGAGGGAGGGGGCGACAGGGCCGGGATTTGGTCCCAATTCCTGCGGATTTGGGATTTTCCAAGCCCCGACCGCACAAATTTGGGACGAATTTGGGATTTTTAAGGCAAATTTCCTCCGCCCTAAATCAGCTCATCAACGCTGCGAGCCGGGCGGGGGGGTGGGGGGAAGAAATTTTGATTTTTGGAGGATTTTTTTCCCTTTTTATCTTTGTTTTTCCCCCCGTTTTTTCACCCCGCGAGCGTCGCCGGGGAGGGTAAAAAAACAATAATTAAAAAAAAATGAGAATATGAGGATGGGAATGGGGAAATTATTGGGATTTTCGCTGTTTTTGGGTGTTTTTTTTTCCGGGAACAAAGAACAACTGCTGCAGGACTTGTCCATATTTCCAGCGCTGTGTCGCACTTTTAATAAAACATCTGTTCTTGCTTCTGCTGATGAGTTCCCTTAATTGTTTGCAGACCCAATTCCGCCAGAAATCTCCCCACAAATCCCCCCCCTTCCCCTCGCCGCGTGGTTTTCTTAAAAAAAAAAAAAATCAAAATATCTTTTTTTTTAACGGGGGTAAAAAGCCAAAAAATCCGCCCAAAACCTGGTGGGAAACGTCAAAAATTCCACTAAAATTCAGATTTTTGCGGGGTTTCACTGATGGCGGATGTTTTGTTTTAGTTTGTTTTGGGGTTTTTTTAAATTCCTGGTGGTATTTTGGGTTTTTTTCGCCCTAAAATAATCAAGGTTTGGAGGGTGGATGTGTTTTGGGTTTTTTTTTCCGGCAGCTGCTTTCTGCTGTCTATAAATCGAGCGGACTTTTAGGACTTGCCCTCTGTTTAGAAAAGTCATAAAACACTTAAACTTCCCCCGGCTCGGTCCCACGCTCATCCCGCAGGTCTCCAGCCCACCTTGGGAAGGGGAAAAAAGGAGGAAAAATAAAAATTATTAAATTAAAAAATAGTTACAATTAAAATTAAAAAAAAAAAAGGCAAAGAGAAGCGAAAAAAGGGGAAAAAAAGGGGGAGAAAAGCGAAATAAAAGGGGGAAAAAATGAAGGGGAAGGAGCAGCAGGAGCAGGAAAAATCAGGAAAATGTAAAATTTGGAGAAAAGGGAAAAGGAGGCTCTGGAAGGAGAAGTTTTTTTGAGGAAAACTCCTCCAAAGTTGTGGCCCTGCCGCCCCTCGCCCCCATCCCGGCCTTTGGGAAAGCCCAAAATTCCCCAAAATCCCCAATTTTGGGCTCCCGGACTCCCCCAAACCCCCCGGGGTTGGAAAACCAAAAGAAAGCAGCAAAATCCTCCCAAAATTCCCAATTTTTCCCCCCCCCACTCACACATTCCGGGGAGATTTTGGAAAACCAGAGTGAGAAAAAAAAAACCAGTGGAAATTTGGGAATTTTGGGGGGAAAACGCCCGGAATTCTCCCCCAAGGCCACGGCAGCGCCCCAAGGTGGGAGCCCCCCCCCCCAGCCGCCACTTTTGGGGCCAAAAATTGGATTTTTCCCCCCGCCCTGGCCTGGGTTTGGGTGTTTTTTGGGTGTTTTTTGTGGGTTTTTTTTGGTGTTTTGTGGTTTTTTTTCCAGTTGCGGTCCCGTTTATGGTTTTATTGCTACCATTGATGACTTTGCTTTGTTAGCCAGAGGAAAAAGAGCATAAAATCCGTTGGCATCCGGGTTCCTGTCATAGCTGGGGGGGCCAAATATTCCCCAAAAAAACCCCCCCGGGGGCTTCGCTTTGTCAGCCAAAAAAAAAAATCTAAAATAATAATAAAAAAAAAAAAAAAATCCAAAATATCAATCAGGATTGGGGTGAATTTCCGACGCTTTCCCGACGAATTTTGGGGATTTTTTAAAAATTCAAAGCCGAGGTGGTTGAACAACAAAAAAGAGGAGGAGGAGGAGGAGGAGGCCGAGGGTTCCCCCGTAAAAATCGGATTTTTTTGGGAGCGCCGCGGACGCTGGAGTCGCCCCGCGGTGCTGCGGGGGCTGCAGGTAGGGGCGGATTTTGGGCGGATTTTGGGGGGATTTTGGGGGGATTTTGGGGGGATTTTGGGGGGATTTGGGCTGGAAATTTCCCCTCCCCGCCGGGAAATATTCCCGATCCAACTTTGGGAATGGCCGGAAACTCGGAATCGCCGGCCCGGGCCGCTCCTCCCCACCCCAAATTCGCTTTTTTTCCGCCTTTTTTCCGCCACTTTTCCTTTTTGGGGACGCCAAGGAATGCCCCAAAACCTGGAGAAATGGCCCAAAAGCGGACGGGAAATCCCAGCTCCCAGCGCGGCTGGGATTGGGGGTTTTTTCCCTAAAAAATCCCTTTTTCCCCCAAATTTTTGCCCTTTTCCAGGAGTTTGGGAGCGCTCCCGATCCCGCGTTATCCATGGAGAGGTCGCCATGTTTATCCCCCCCCCTTTTCCCCTTTTTTTTATTTGTTTCCTTCTTTTTAAATTGAATTATTTCCCCCGTTTTGTTGTTTAAATGCGAATAACTCGTAGCAGGAGAAGGGGGGTGGGGGGGGAAAAGGGAGAAAATTTAATTAAAAAAAATTAAAATAAAATAAAATTATTAAATTAAATAAAAATAAAAGAAAATAAAAGGATTAAAAAAAATAAAAAGAGGGAGAGAGAGGGTAATTTATGGCTTAATATTCTGTGTTCGCCTGAGATTTATTGCTGGGAATTCGGAGCCGCTTATTACGAGATATTTAAGCGCAGCTTTCTTGGAAAGAATAATAATTATGATAATCGTTTTATAAAAATCATAATAAAAGAGAATAAAAAAGAGCATATTTAGCATCGCTAAAATAAAAAAAAAAGAGAGAGAGGGAGGGAGCAAGCAAGAGAGTGTCTGACTACAGCCCTAAGGGCTGTCACAACAGATAAAACCTCAGCCAGGATTCGCAGTTTGAGCTCCTGCACGCTAATNAAAAAAAAAAAAAAAAGGAAGTAAGGTGGGTTAAAAAATGTGAATTTTCGGAATTTTAGGTCGCCGTGAGCCCCCTGCTCACCCACACCCCACCGCCGGCGATCTCCCGGGGGGTGTTTTTTATTTTTTGGGGGTGCCGGACTTACTTTCCATGCCCACTTAGTTCCGAGTGGGGACTGGCGAGCAGAAAAAAGCCATTTTTTCCCTTTTTGACACGCGGCTCGCCATTGGCCCGGGCCGGGTCAGCTGACTGTGTCCGTCTGTCTGTCCTGGAGCAGAGCCTTCCCTATAACAATCCTACACTTCCCTCTACAAACTGGAGACTGAAATAAATATTAAAAGAAATCGCACGGGCCCAGGTGGCGCCGGGAAAAAAGGAGAGAGGCAGACGGGCAGGGAGAGAGAGGAGGAGGGGGTGGGAAAAAAATTAAAATATAGAGAGAGATATTAATGAATTAATTGGTGGGGGTGAGGCGGGGGTAGAGAGGGAGAAGTGGAGGGGGATAGGGGAAAATAGAGGGGAAATAGGGGAAAATATAGAGGGGAAATAGAGGGGGAATAGAAGGGAAAGAGATAAAGGGGAGATATAAAGGAAAAAATATAGAGGGAATAATAAAAGAAATAATAGAGGGGGAAGAGAGGAAGGAAAGAGAGGAAATTGAGGAATAAAGAGGGAAAATAAAGGAATAAGGGAGGCAAAATAGAGCAGGAGAAGAGGAAAACTAGAGGAAAAGGAAAGGGGGAAATAGGGGGATAAAGGGGAAAAGCGGGGGGGTAAAAGAAGAAATATAGAGGAATAAACTGAGGAAAAGGGGGAAATAGAGGAAAAAAGGGGAAATAGAGGGGGAAAGGGAAATATAGAGGAAAAAGGGGAAGATAGAGGGGAAAGAGGAAAAATAGAGGAAGAAAAGGAAAAATAGAGGGAAAAAGAGGGGAAATAGTGAGAAAAAAGGGAAAATTGAGGAAAAAAGGAAAAATAGAGGGAAAGAAGGAAAAATAGAGGAAAAAAGAGGGGAAATAGTGATAAAAAAGGAAAAATTTAGGGAAAAATAGAGGAAAAAAGGAAAAATAGAGGAAAAAAAGGAAAAATAGAGGAAAAAAAGGAAAAATAGAGGAAAAAAAGGAAAACAGCGGAAAAATAGAGGAAAAAATATTTTAAAAAAAAAAAAAAAAAAAAAAAAAAAAAAAAAAAAAAAAAAAAAAAACCCCAAAAAAAGCAACAAAAAAAAAAAAAAAAAAAAAAAAATAAAAATACAAACCACACGGACAAAACCCCCCCCCCCTCGGCGAGAACGCGGAGAACAACCCAAATCATAACATTTCCAAAAAAAAATATAAACTAAAAATTAAAAAGCAAGCCCAAAAGGCCCGAGAGCACGGCGGAGCGGCGATGAATTCCTATTTCACCAACCCGTCCTTGTCGTGCCACCTCGGCGGCGGGCAGGACGTGCTGCCCAACGTGGCCGCGCTCAACTCCAGCTACGACCCCGTGCGGCATTTCGGCGGCTACGGCGCGGCCGTGGCGCAGAACCGGATTTACTCCTCGCCCTTCTACTCGCCCCAGGACAACCCGGTGGTGTTCGGCTCGGGCCGCTCGCCCTACGAGTACGGCTCCAACGCTTTCTACCAGGACAAGGAGGTGCTGAGCAGCTGCCGGCAGAGCTCGGTCGGGGCGCACGGCGCCGCCAACTCCATCGCGCAGGATTTCCCCAGCGAGCAGAGCCGCGGCGCGGCTCAGGAGCAGAAATCCGGCATCCAGATCTACCCCTGGATGCAGCGCATGAATTCGCACAGTGGTAAGTTTTTTACGGCTCGTGGCGCGCGGGGATAAATTAAATAAACTCGGAGGGTTTTATGGCTTTTTTTTCCTCCCCCTCCCCTTCTTCGCCCTTTCCCCAGCCGTCCCCTCGCTTCCTCGGCACCTCGGTAGGATGGGGTTTTTATGGCGCCATAAAAACAATAATTTCGCGCAGTTTGCGGTTGGCTTTTTATTCGGGTTTGGCTTGTTAGGATCGGTTTTAATTAAAAGGTTTCGCCCGGCGGTGAAATATCGGCGATCGTAAAGTGGGATTAAATAGGGAAATAAAACTAAAGCGGCGCGGCCGGCTGCGCTCGCCGAGTTTAGCGGGGGAAGTAAATACGAGCGGGGTTTAGGGCGAGGAGTAAAGTTTGTGCGGTTGGGGTTTTAGGGTTTTTTTTAGGGTTTTTAGGAGGTTTTTTAGGGGGTTTAGGGTTTGGGGGTGGCACGAGCTGGGGCCGGGGGGAAGCCGCCCCTTCCTCGCCGTCCCCGGCTCCCCCAAATCCAGGGAATCCAGGGCAAGTCTGGGCTTAAATCCCGCAAAATCAGGGCTTGAACACTCAAAACCTGGGCTAAACCCCTCAAAATCTGGCCTAAAACTCCTCAAAATCCGGCCCAAAGCCCCGCAAAATCCCTAAAATAGCACAGAATCCGGGCTAGAACCCTGAAAATCCGTGTTTAAAGCTGCAAAGTCTGAGCTAAACCCCTGCGCAATCTGGGCTAAAACCCCACCAAAATCTGTGCTTAAAGCCTCAAAATTTGGCCTAAACCCCCCAAATATCCGCGCTGAAACCTGCAAAATCTGGGCTGAACCCCCGCAGAATTTTGGGCAAGCCCCTCAAAACATGGCCTAAAACCTCACAAAATCTGGGCTAAAACCTGCAAAATCTGGGCTGAACCCCTGAAAATCCAGTCTAAAACAGTGCGAAATCTGGGCTAAACCCCTCAAAATCCAGTGTAAAACAGTGCGAAATCTGGGCTAAACCCCTGAAAATCCAGCCTAAAACACTGCGAAATCTGGGCTAAACCCCTCAAAATCCAGCCTAAAACACTGCGAAATCTGGGCTAAACCCTGAAAATCCAGCCTAAAACACTGCGAAATCTGGGCTAAACCCTGAAAATCCAGCCTAAAACAGTGCGAAATCTGGGCTAAACCCCTGAAAATCCAGTCTAAAACAGTGCAAAATCTGGGCTAAACCCTGAAAATCCAGCCTAAAACACTGCAAAATCTGGGCTAAACCCCTGAAAATCTGGCCTAAAACACTGCAAAATCTGGGCTAAAACACTGCAAAATCTGGGCTAAACCCCTTAAAATCTGGGCTAAACCCCTCAAAATCCAGCCTAAAACAGTGCAAAATCTAGGCTAAACCCCTCAAAATCCAGCCTAAAACAGTGCAAAATCTAGGCTAAACCNCCTAAAACAGTGCAAAATCTAGGCTAAACCCCTCAAAATCCAGCCTAAAACAGTGCAAAATCTAGGCTAAACCCCTCAAAATCCAGCCTAAAACACTGCAAAATCTGGGCTAAAACACTGCAAAATCTGGGCTAAACCCCTTAAAATCTGGGCTAAACCCCTTAAAATCAGGGCTAAACCCTTGCAAAACCTGTTCTGAAGCCCTACAAAACCCAGGTTAAAACTCTCCAAACCTCGTCTAAACACCACAAAACCCAGACCAAACAACAACAGCCGAAGCCCGGCCTAACCCCCATAAAACCCATCCTTAACGCACCAAAGCCCGGCCCGAACCCCCCAAATTGAACGCTTGAACCGCACGGCCGGAGCCCGCGGGGACGGGGAGCGCTGTGATTTCATTTTTTATTCATTTTTTATTCATTTTTTCGGCGGCGGGGTGGGGGTGGCGAGGGGCAGGGCGAGCGGAGGGCGCTGCGTTCTGACGGGTTTTAGTCTGTTTTGTCTCGGCTTCTTTAGGAGTCGGTTACGGGGCCGACCGCCGGCGGGGCCGCCAGATTTATTCCCGGTACCAGACGCTGGAGCTGGAGAAGGAATTCCACTTTAACCGCTACCTGACCCGGCGGCGCCGCATCGAGATCGCCAACGCGCTGTGCCTGACCGAGCGGCAGATCAAAATCTGGTTCCAGAACCGCCGCATGAAGTGGAAAAAGGAGACAAACCTCAGCTCCACGCTGGCCGGAGCCGCGGGAGGAGGAGGAGGAGGAGGAGGAGGAGGAGGAGGAGGAGGAGGAGGAGGAGGAGGAGGAGGAGGAGGAGGGGGAGCGGCGGCCGCCGACAGCTTGGCCAAGGAGGAGAAGCGCGATGAGACAGAGGAGGAGAAGAAGGAGTGATGGATTTGATTTTCCTGCCTCTTCCCCCCCCCTCTCCTCGTCCCTTTTTTTTAAATTTTATTTTATTTTTATTTTTTGGTCCTTCCTGGTATTTATCGTTGGGGGGGAAATGATTAAAAATTATAATTATATGGGTGGGGGAAATGTTGGCGGGGAGGGAGGGATAGCGGGGGGAAATGGGAAATAAATGAAATTAAAGGGTGGGGCGGGGTGAGAGTGGAGAGAGAGGAGTGAAAGAGAGGAGGAGTGGAAAAGTGGAGGAGTGAGTGCGGAGGGGTGAAAAAGTGGGGGGGGAAAATGAAAAAGTGGGGGGTGAAAAGAAAAAGTGAAGAAAAAGTGAAGAAAAACTGAAAAAAATGGGGAAAAAAAGGGAAAAAGTGGAAAAAAAAAACAAAAGAAAAAGCGGGGGGGAAATGAAAAAAAGTGGAGGAATGAATGCGGAGGAATGAATGTGGAGAAATTAATTAATTAATGCGGAGAAATAAACGGATGAATGAACGAGGAGGAATTAATTAATTAAGTAATTAATTACTGAGAGAGCTCCTCAAAAACCCACGAACCCCCCCCCAAAATCTCCCCCTTCTCCTCCTCATCCCGGCCGCACCCCCACCCCAAAAATCGGGCAAAAAACTGGGCAAAAATTGGGGCAAAACCGGGCAGAAATGGAGGCGACCCCGCCCCCGGCTTGTCCCGCCAAACCTCAGCGATTCCCGGTGAGAAAAAACCAGATTTTCCTCGCGAAAATGCCATAAAAAAGCGCTTTTTCGGCCCGAAATCGCCTTTTTTTCCTCCTCGTATTTAAGCAGCTACCTGGGCTCATCACCGCATCCACAAACTGTGACGGTTTCTGTGTGAATATTTTTCTCTGTGTTCGTGGTACCTGTATTTATATTTATGTTTAGCGCTGTAATGTTGGAAAAAAAGGTAAAAAAAAAATTAAAAACCCAAAAAAAAGTGAATGGAGTTCATAGAGGTAGAGAGAAATAAATAAATAATAAAAAAAAAAAATTAAAAAAAAAAAAAAACGGCGAAAAACGTTTAAAAAATAAATAAAATTGAAAAATCTTGTGTTACACCCTCTCATGTATAAAGTCCCCCAGTCCGGACTGGACTTTCTGTC